TCTCTTTCTGATTTTGAAAGAAATCCAGAGTGGCAGTTCCTTCCGCCCAGCCCGGCCTCTCTCATCTCCAGGGGTGACATCTGATCACCATTTATGGGCAGACTGCAAAGGTGTGAACCCACATACAAACTGTGCTTTTGTTCTGCATGTGTACAGAGCTAAAACGCCTGTGTACTGTGGGCACGTGCCTGGTCTTCTGTGCTTGCATTAATGTTTGCCACGTGAGCATGCTAAACCTGTGGATATAGTGTCTTCATCCTGTTTATTCGCCTATTAAGGTTGTGCTTGTGTGTAGTTTGAAAAGTCCAAGGGTCTTCCCAGGCTGCAGTGACAGGCGTCAATCCCCACACATTCCCAGCCACTTGAATTTGTTCTCCCCTTTCGTCTGCTCCCGCGGCCCATGGTTCTGGAGATGAGTACTGCATTTCTTGGCTCTTCCCGTTGAGAGCTGCTCAGGGCCCTGGGGGGCCCAGTTGGCTTGTGCTTAGCTAAACCATCTGAGCTCTGGTGGCCTAGTGAATAAGGAGTTGCACTGCTAACTCAAAGGCCAGAGGTTCAGATCTGCCAGCTGCTCCGTGTGATGGGCAGTCTCCTTCCGTGTGGTCTACGGCCTCTGAAAACCTGCTGAAAGGTCAGCTGCAAGTCAGCGCTGACTCAAAGGCAATGAGTGTGCGTGAGTGAAGTAGCCCGACGTTGGGCGGTCAGGACTCGCCTGGTGCCTTGTGTAAGTAAAGACGTGGCGGTCTGCCCCACGAGGGTGATGGACCGGAGAGCTCACGGAGCAGCCCCTGCACCCAGGGGTCACCTTGAGCTGGAATCTACTGGATGCACTCGAGGAAGGCCTGCCCTTGTTCTTCCAAGTTTAGCAGTTGCCTTATTCCCCAAGTAACTGGTTTTCAGAACTGAGCCTTTTGCTCTTAGGACCTGGGGGAGTGAGCTTGCTTGTCCATGACCGGAAGGGACCCCTGGGGTCACCTGGATGTGTACAGGTGCTCTCTGTGGACTGCTGTCTGTTGGGAAAGGTGTGGCTTGGTGTCCCCAGGACCACCGAGAACTAGGAATCCTTGACTGATAAGGTGTGTGACCTTCCTGCCCCAGGAAGCTGGTGAAAAGCAGGTGACAACGGAGCCCTCTTACCCACATGGCTTTCCTTTCCCCCCTTCTCCTGTCACCTGACTCACAGGTGTGCCATTCGGTTTTCTGGGTCACAGGCCATTGTGTGTGCGTGTGGCTTTCTCCTATGGGAGCCAGAGCAAGGCTGAAGGGCCTGTCCCAGGGTACACATGTGCTCTCTCCTGCTGTGATCTCGGGGTGAAGTCCTAGGGTGGACCTCATGTGGAGACCTGACCAATTGTGGGGTCCACATGGGCTCCGAGGGCATCTTCTCCAAGTCAGAGGGGCTCCCAGGGCCAAGCAAGGTGCTGGGGGTCACAAATATCACAGATAAATGCTTAGTCTCAGGAAGTGCTGTTTCCCCTGTACCTTGAAAGATCTGGGGAGCAAGCTCCTTTCAGCTGGTGAGCCCACACCTTGACATTTCTACCAGGAAAGGTGTGGCCTCCAGGTGTGGTTCTGATGGGGATCTGAGGCTGTTTTCCTGGGCAGGGGGCACACTGACCCCAGGGAACCCACCCTTGGTGACATGCGTTGTCTTGCATTTGCCTTGTAGGTGTGGGACGCTGTGGACTTGGGGCGCTGCCTACGGACTTACACCCTGCATACAGAGGCCGTGCGGGCTGCCCGCTGGTCCCCCTGTGGCCAGAGAATCCTCAGTGGCGGCTTCGACTTCACACTGCACTTAACAGACCTCGAAACAGGTGAGCCGTTCAGAAACTGAGGCTCTTGTGCCCAGACTTTGCAACTGGATCACCCTTCTCTTGGGGCCGCACCCCTACCTCCCTGAGGCCTGGGCCAGTGGGATCGGGACTCAGGACAGGCTGCTGCCCCTGTCGGCCAGTGGTCTGTCGGTCTGTCGGCGCCAAGGTGCATCACAGAGAGTTCAACTGAGCCCTCAGCTGCCCGAGGATGGTTTGAGGTTGTCTCAGAGACCAGCTGCGGGCTGGGCAGAGAAATAGCTCTTAAATCAACTTCTGGTGTGCGATCTGTAGTGAGATAGAAAGAGCTCCCTCAGAGCATCTTTAGATTGGAATCGGTTTGGAATCCTGTCAGTTCCTGGGCGCTGGAAGGCCTGAGCCCAGCATCTGGGGGAAGTCTGCACACGAGTTCTGCTCTGGTGCCCACCCCATGGGCATTTGGGGGAGATGAATTCACGTCCTGAGTCCTGAGGGGACGAATGCCGGGGGATGGGACGCGAGGAGCCTGGACAGCAGCTGTGGGGCTGAGCTGCCTGTGTGACAGGTGTCGGACTCGCTCTGGTCACACCCCAGGGCATCGGTGTCTCCTGAGGTTCACAGGTGAGGACAGGGCTGTGGGGCTCCCCGCTCCCATCTCTGTTCTCGTGGACAGGGAAGTTGTGTGGGCAGCTCTAGTCATGGGCGCTCCTGGGAGCCAGCACCCTGCCCGGGCAGGCATGCTTGGTGTCCACGCAGCCAATGGCAGACGAGCAGACTGAGGCTCCTTGCTGGGGGCTCCACAGGATGCCCGGTGTAGGGGGCTTTGGGGCCTGGGGTGTGGCTGCAGGACCCGCACAGCTGAAGCTGGGGTACAGCATGGCCCTTTGTGCCGGCCGCGGCCTCACTGAGCAGTCAGCGCCCAGAGCTCTACAAGGCAGACAGAAGCCCAGCCCAAGAGGGGGAGCCGTGTGATGACCATGAGCTGGGCGGTGGCGGGAGCAGCTGCGCTGACCAAGCAGCCTTGTCCACGTCTCACACTTCAGCCCCTTGTCAGGACCCATGTGTCCACTGAGATGCGTCCCTCCAGTCCCCCTGATTCACACACGGCTCGTAGTGTCGACCCACAACTGGTGGGGCTCCAAAGCTGACCCCTGGGTGTTCAGTGCGCCATACTTGACGTGGAGGACTTCGAGTGGACGAGCCCCAGGGGCCTGGGTAGATGGACATGCGGAGCGACTTGCAGGTGCTGTGAGGGTGGTGATGGAGTTCCAGATGTGATGGTGGGAACGCTGAGCGTCTTGTCTGAGGCCACCGTGGCAGGGCTCCTTGTCACCCTGTTCTTTGATGCAGGGCCATGGCCGTGCACGCTCCTTGGAGCGATGAAGGGAGCCTCACTACCACCTGAGCCCCCTGAGATCAGGTGTGGGCAGTGCAGGTGTTCATCAAACACAGTCATCCAGGGGCCGTCCTGGAAACACAGTGACCTCTGCCACCTGTTACCCCCCCTCACCAGGTGGTCCACTAGCAAAGGCCAGTGTGAGTGTGTGTCCCTGAGTGAGTATGTGTGTGTGTCTGTAGGTTGTAAGTAGTTGTATATGTGAGCTCTGTGTGTGTCCCTGAGTGAGTGTGTATGTGTGAGGGTGTGTGTCTGTGTGTGCCTGGAAGCGTGTGTGTATAATCATATTTATGAACATGTGTGTGTGTCTGTGAGTATGTGTCTGTGTGTGCCTGTGGGGGTGTGTATATAGTTGTATTTATGAGCATGTGTGTGTGTGTCCATGAGGGAGTGTGTATGGGTGAGAGTATGTCAGTGCGTGTGTGTCTATGATGTGTGTGTAATTGTATATGTGAGTGTGTGTGTATGGGTGAGTGTATAGGTGAGAATGTGTCTGTGAGTGTGTGTGTCTGTGGGGGTGTATAGTTGTATATGTGAGTGTGTATGAGTGAGTGTGTTATGTGTAAAAGTATGTTTGTATGATGTGTATGTGGTTGTTTATGTGAGTATGTATGTGTGTCCCTGAGGAAGGGTGCATGCATGTATATATGTGTGTGTCTCTGAGTGTGAGTGTGTGTCTGTGGCTGTGTGTCCGTAGTGTGTGTAAGTCGTTGTTTGTGTGAGCAGATGTGTGTTTGTGTGCAAGTTTATGTGTAGGAATGTGTTGTGTGTGCACGTAGTTATAAAATACACATAGGTGTGTATGAGGTTGTATTTGTGAGAGTGAGCTTATCTCTGTGTGTGAGCACGTGAGTGTGTATGTTTTAAGATACATAGATGTGTGAGTGTGCATGTGTGTGGTGTGAGTGTACAACTATGAACATATATGTAAGAGTATATGCCGTGAGTGTGTATGTGTGTAGAAACGTGTTGGGTGTGTATGTGTAGATGAGCAGATACGTGAACAATAGAGGTGTACTTTTATGCCTTGTATGTGGTTATGTGTGTGAGTGTATATCTTAGTGTGTGTGTGAGCAGTATGTGTGAGTGTTGTGTAGTTGAGTGTGTCTGTGTGTGAAGAGGTGTATTTACGTCCATGCGTGTGCTTGTCTGTGCATGTGCACTGTGTAATTGTGCATGGACATGAGAGTGTGAATGTGTATTTATGTCTGTGAACATGAGTGTGTGTGTGAGTGTGTGCATGTGTGTGGGTGTATGAGAGTGCATGGGTGTGTGAGAATGTTGGTGTGTGAGAGGGTGCAGGTGTGCGAGAATGTGTAGTGTGCAAGTGTGAGTGTGAGAGTATATGGGTGTGCAGAGGTGTGTGAGAGAGAAAGGCACACGGAGTGTGTTGGACGTGCAGGGTGTGTATGGAGCGTGTGGGCGTACAAGGGTGTGATTCTGTGAGAGTGTGTAGGGTGTGAGAATGTGGGGTGTGCTGAGTGTGTGTACGGGGTGTATGGGGTGTGTGTGCATGCAGAATGCGGGGTGTACACAATGTGAGGCTTGTGAGTATGGGATGTGCAGAGTGTAAGGTGTATAGAGAGTAGGGTGTGCAGTGTGGGGTGTGTGGAGTGTGGGGTGTATCGAGTGTGGGGTGTATAGAGAGTGAGGTGCGCAGAGAGTGGGGTTCCCAGAGTATGGGGTGCACAGAGATTGGGGTGCACAGAGTGTGGGGTGTGGAATTCTGAGCCGGTGAGGCCCACTGCAGTAGGTGGCAGTGGGGGACCGCTGCTGTACAAGAAGAAGGTGCTCAGTGGCCTGATGGGACCCTGGGTGGGTCTGGGCAGCTGCGGGGAGGAAGAATTGGAGGGGTCAGTGACAATGGACAAGGCAGCAGCCTGGAGAGGGTGGGCAGCTGGTCTCTGGTAGACTTGGCTGGAGGGCAGTTCATCTCTGCTGGGGGTGTGGGTGCCGCTGAGGGTCAGGCAGCCCTGCCCTCCAGGACTTCCCCCCATTACGAGGTGACTGAGGGGCCCCCGCTCTGCTCTTGTGTCCACCGGCTTCCCCTTTGAGCACCGCCTATGGGTGGGCCTGGACATGCCCTGCCCCAGCGAGGGGCTGGATGAGGGTCAGGAACCCCAGGAACCCTTCTGGGCCACAGGAGGCTTCGCCTCTGGGGTTGACTTTTGTGCCTCTCCCTTGAGAGTGTGGGGGCTCCTTGAGGGTGGGCCTGCCCTGGTGGTCTCTGCTTTATCTCTTCCCAGGACCAGCTCAGAGCAGCCACGGTGTGTGTACACGGGAAGTAGGTGAGCTGCATGTGGCCGCCCATCTTCCTGGGGAAGTGATGCCCACCAGGGGCTGTGATGGGAGAGGCCCCTGTTCCCACCCTCCAGGATGTGGGCCCAGGTCTTGGTGGGCACGGGCACTCCCTACTCTGACCACTTTGATGCGTCTCGTCCCTCTGCCCCGAGTCTGGGTCCTTCTGGGCTGCCGTTTCCACCCGTGGTGATTGGTTTTTTTCATTTCAATCTAATTAGAACTCCTGCCAGGGGAACGCGCGGGCGTCCTAGCAGCCCAGGGAATTAGTCACTCTTTGCCCATCGCCGGTAATGGGGCCCGGGCGCCAGGGCCATTTATCCTGGCGTCCTCAATCAATACAGTTAAATCCGAGGGTTCTGAAACGTCAATACACAGCCTGAAATATGGAGGGCCAGTCACGCTTTATCTCGTTAATTTATCGTCCTGACGGGCTGTTGGCTTATAGAACTGCCATGAATCAACACTTGAGTAAAATCCGCTCGCAGATTAATGATTTCGGGGCTCCTGTTTCAGTCTGTAATCTTCCTAACAAAACCTTCCTGGTGCGTCAGGCTGGGACGACCCTGGGGAGGCACCTGCCCTGTGAGTCAGCTGGCCAGTAGTAGACAGAACAGTGTCCTCACAAGCCCCCCAGCTCGTGTCCTCTTCCACAGACTGACCCTCTCCTCGAGACTCCAGCCTGGGTTGGGAGCCCTGCCCAGTGGTGGTCAGACATCTCGCCCTCTCTGTGCACTGGACCAGGCACCTCGTCTGCCGCAGGTGGTTCTCCTGATGTGGTGGCTATGAGTGCTCCCTGGTCCTGGGTCCTGGGGTGTCCAGGGTAACAGCGTGGTGTGGAGTCCCCACCAAGACCCAGAGGTCTGAGTCCTTGAGGAGGGCAGGTGGGGTGTGGGAGGCCGAAAACCTGGCAGACCCACAGCAGAGGCTACTTCCCCTCGTGCCCCAGAGATCCTTCCCATGGTGAGAAGCCTGACCTGGTGCCCACTAGCTTGTCAGAGCGGCCCGGGTGCTGGGCTGCTTCTCCACTTGGGGTAGCTTTGATGGGGTCACGGGTGACCGCCCAGCTCACTGACTAGTGGGAGTGTTGGTCCCATGTTTGGGACTTGGGGCGCACTACAAGGAGGACTCGGAGGTCAGTATCCAAGCTTGCCCTCTGTGTCTTCTTCCCTACCAGACAGGAGCATGGGGTCTGGAGAGGAGAGGATGAGTCACAGCATCTAATGACAAGACAGGAGGTGGGGATGGGGACAAGGTGGGGGCAGAGTCACAGCCTCTGGTGACAAAGTGGGGAAGAGGTCACAGTGTCTGGTGACAGGGCCACCTGTGC